GTTGAATACGTAATTATTATATCTTTTAATTGAATAATTTGATATGATTTTCACACACACACACACACACACACACATATACATTTCCATAATAAGTATAATTTACCAAATTATAATAGAATTTGTTGAACATAGTTATTCTAAGACTAAGATTTAACGCTTACAATATTTTTTCTTCATTTACCGAGTGATTTTAAATCGATTTATTCGGAAATTACAGTGCCTGGTCATCGACTCGCGGTGCCGATCCTCGAAAGCTTCCCAACGCGCGATTCGGAAATCTCTCTCTCTCTCTCTCTCTCTCTCTCTCTCTCCCCTCCCCCCACTGTCTCTTTCTCTTTCTCTTCACCTTGCACAACAAAAAGTGATTAATTACACCTCTCGGGAGTCCGGTGGCTCGTTGTTTCCCCAAGCCCAACGGTGAGCATCGTTTCGGCAACAATGTGGGCCGGTCTACTCGGCGTCTCTCGTGCAACGTAACCAGCGTAGCCTGGTCCTCCCGTCCGCGATCCTCTTCTCTCGAGCGAGGAGAATCGATCCTGCCCTCGGCATTGTGTCCCCTTTTGTCCGACCACGCCGCGAAATATTGCCGGGGCGAACTTTCCGTCGACTCGTGACCCCACCTCCGCTCATCACACCCCGGCCCCAACGTTCATCCCTCGCCGTCGCTCTTCCCGGTTTCTTCGAGACACGCACCTTACACCGTGCGAGCATCGACGCGCGACGAGATCTTAATGACACCACGATTTCTGTGGGATTATTTATGGTTGCGCGATCCGGCAACGCGATCGCTCAATCTTGATTCTGACATCGAGCGCGGTCGTATTTGATAGCATTTAAAAACTTTCTGAAACCGACGGTTCTTTTGAATTCTTTATTTCTCTACCTCTCAGCATCAAGATGGGAGTACAGTATCTTGCACAATACGTAACACATAAGACATAAGAAAATTAAGGGCAAATTAAGATGCAGTCACAATAGACGGAATAAGGAATAAAGACTTTCAACTTATCAGAAATCGAATATATCGGAATACACCATTCCTGATAGGTGTTGGAATCATTATTTCTTATTCTTAATTCCTTATTCCTTCTATTGGGGCTGCACCGTAGATAAGATCCTTCATTTCCTTCCTTTTCATGAAATAAAAGACACTGATTGATTGATTTTTTTCATGCTTTATGTTAAAGTCCAGTCCGCGCTCCAATCTTCACGTTGTATTATATATGTGGGCATGCATGTGCCATAAGAAAGCGAGCCTAGTCGCTATA